GCAACATATCAACCAAGACATTTGTGCAAGGCACAGGTAGCATCTTTTGCAACCAATAAAATAATTTCTTTACTTCTAACTGCTTGTCACTGTGTAAGGATTTACTTTATTGAACATGGATTAAACAACAGGTTTAATACCTCACAGAAAAGAGATGGCATTCTAATACACACTTTAAAGATTGTTTCCCTAAAATGTAAGATGCAGGCTTGATATTCATCATCTGTATTACATGCAAAGCACACACACTTAGTTTTAATTAGGAAACAACTCATCTCTCTCAGTCTTTTTTCATAGTAGACAACTGCAAGTGTCTGGATTGAAGGCAAGAGTATACAAACTGTTTAATATAACTATTGCAAATGCAAATTTTCCACTGAAGCCAGGATGCTTACTCACAGACAATCCTACTCCAGCTGAGCAGTTCAGCTGCAAGTACAGAAAATGCATTTCAGATACACACACCAAGTAATATGTGTTCTTAATATCTGCTCCATTTTGGTTTCAGCTGAAAACCACCTTTACACTCCATGACTTTAAGGATAAGTTATCTGAGAAAAACAAAAACACAACACCTTTGATCTTCATTTCCATCCCTTTGGATACACACTGAGATACTGAGATTCAGTCTTTAGTTTTAAACAGATAAACAAAAAATCCCTTTCTTCATTTTCACATCTCTGAGATAACAGTAAATAAGAGGATTTTAATAAATTGTTTAGACACTAGCAATACACAAAACTGCAGGAGAGGAAGGAGCAAGGCTCACATGATGCATGCTCATCGCTCCCATCCTTCTCATTCCGTTACTGGATTTGAATTGCCCAATTTCCTACAGAATGGCACCAGGGCATTTCTCAGCAAGCCAACAACTAATGCAAATGACTTTACATCATATTTCAAGATAGCAAGATTATCGAGCATGTGCTACTCACCTGAAAGAGGCAGTCAAAGACTAACTTGTTTATTTTCATGTGAAATATTATCTATAGACATGTTTAGAAAAAAATATGGAGCTGCTGTCAGGTCACATTAGACCACTTTCTTACTTAAAACAAAAACACAGCTTGCTGGTGAAGAGAAGAGAAAGGTTTTATCAAACCATACTTAAAAAATGCTGTCAAAACATTTAAGAATAAAATCATAGAACCATAGAATCCTTAGATTTGGAAGGGACCTCTTGGACCCTTAGATTTGGAAGGCCATCATCCCCCAGCTTGTATTGGTAGGTCACCTCAATCCAGGTGCAAATCTTACATTTGGATTTGTTGAACCTCATGAGATTCATCTGGGCCCACTGCTCAAGCCTGCTGAGTTCCCTCTGGATGGCACCCCTTCCTTCCCTGTGCTGTATTGCCCACAACCTGCAGCTCGGTGTCATCAGCAAACTTGCTGAGGGTGCAATGATGTCACTGATGAAGGTACTGAGGAGTATCAGCCCCAGCACGGATCCTTGGGAGACATCACTCATCACTTATCTCCATCCAGGCAGACACTGACCACCACCCTCTGGACTCAACCCTGCAGCCAGTTCTTCATCCATTGAAGATTCCACCCATCAAATCCACATCTTCCCACTTTGGAGAGAAGGGTGTTGTGGGGTACCATGTCAAAGGCCTCACTGAAGTCAAGACAGGTGACATCAGTGGCTCTTCCCCTGTCCACTGATGCAGTGATATCACAGTCAGAATTTCACAACATAAAAAGGAAGCACATCTTTTAGTTGTAACAGCTACTGCTCAATGTTGTACGCAACAGACACCAGTTTCTTCAGTTCTTGTTAGAGAGATCTGGATGAGAAGTGCTAAGTGAAGAAACAAGCCTGTTCCATGCATCCTGCTGTGCGCTAATGCCTTATTGCTGCCGTGTTTCTACTTTCATTTGGTGGCTGGCAGGAAGATCTCTCTTAACAGAATAAAAACAACCCTGCTATCTTCAAGTGCATGACACTCCATCCAGAGATCTATTAGCAACAGAGCGAAGGCGTTGGTAATGGATGAGCAGCAGACAATGCAGCTTCAAGTGTGTGGCGCAGAACAAAGCTGTGTGCCAGCAAGAGATGACAGTGCTCAGATGATTTCTTGCTATTACCACTTCCAGCAGAATTTTTTTCTCCTTCCCTCTTTTACATTATAAAATGTTTACCACAATAAACCTTGAAATGATTGCTAAGGAAATGCTACAAAAATGATAGACTAAATAGATTAATTTTACATTTGCATAATTTTGCAGAACAGTTTATCACAACTTCAAGTTTTCTCCACACTATATTGATACAGCATTGGAAACTATGACAAGCACAAAGAGAGCAGGAACTCAAGGTGCCACAACAGAAACGTACCCAAGCTCCTCACCGCCAACAGATTAGAAATTGTTGGTAAACTCATGGATAGCTATATCAGTAGAAATTTTCTGGAAATATTTTTGGGGTGCTGGTGAGGTATGCCTGTCCTTTCTCTTCAGCTAAGAAAACAGCTTAAAAATATCAACCCACTTACGTTGTTAGTGTTATCTTTAACTAAGCAATACTCGGGAATTATGTAGCAATGACTTTTAACAGAGCATTGGGAGACTACTGGTATAGTCTCAGCCTTTCTTGAAGGGAGAAAAATGATGACGCCTGTGATGTCTTATTTCTTCATGAAGGCTGTTTGTTGTTTATTTGTGAAAGCATTTCTTAAAAGAGGCAGTGGTGTCCTTTCACAGAAAGAAGTCACCAATTCCAAAGCTGGTGAAACTGTAAAAATATACATTAGCTTGATCCTGCCACATGCAGGAAGCAATGCCCTGTTATGCTTTGAAAGGAACAGCCAAGAAAGACAACCATCCAATGATCACCGCTGCTGTTTCCTCTTCAGATCTCAGCTAGCAACCAGCATGTTGTGGTTCCATCTGGACAACACTTAATTGCTGTTGACCAGGTGATAAAAGATCAAAAGAGGTGATAAAGGTGCCTTTGACAGATCTGTGCTCCCTTCTCTGTTATAACTCACCTGCACAGCATGTCCATAAGGAGAAGAAAAAAAAAAAGTGCAGCTACACAAGCAGGTTCCTTTCTGTTACCTTCTGTTTCTTTGCCCTGCTAACTGCACCTGTGCTCCTCCTCCTTCAGGAATCTCCTCTCCTAATCTAAACATAAGGGATTCTTCCAGGTTCATTTGCATAAGCTTGACAGTTTTGTGCAGACTTGTTTCACTTCTAAATATTACAAAGTTAAAATTATAATGAAGAATTATGAAACCATTTGAACAACACGTTGGGTACATTTACTTGTGCATACGCATGGTGTTAAAACAAAATACAATAGACTAGAATCAAAGGAAAATAAAGTACTGTACAGATGGCAAAAAAAGCTACAGCTGAAAGGTTGCTGAATGCACAATTACTCAAAGCAGCTTGTACTTTTTTATTTGTTTACTTTGCTTTTTTTTCTTTTACACTATAATTTCAGGGCTAGTTTCAATTTTATCCTAAAACCTACTAATTTATTCCTCCCCCAGTGATCTCTACTTCACTCTCTTTTTGCTAGGTTTAAAATAACATTCAGATTTTTTTTTTTCAGTTATGCAATGACTTGCAGAGATGTTTGCATTGCTTTTATCTAGTTTAAACCCCACACATACTGTTTACTGCAATGTTTGCTCCCTCTAAGTACCTATGAAGTTGAAAAGGAGACATTACACATACTTCATCAGAACCACGGATCTGATTTGTGTAATTAAAGATAAATATCACATTCCAAACTTACTACAGAGACAAAAACAGTAAAATATTTTGTGTATATAACAGGTTGTATTTTCATCATAAAAATGCAGAACCAATGTCATAGAAGACCTTTCTTCCCCCAATGTATTGAAGATTCTAAAGACTACAGAAAAAGTGTTTTCTTGCACTTCTGCCAAACGAATTTCAGTATCTTTTGGTTTTCGCCCTATTATAGACTGTCTATATTCCTACAATGCTTTATATCCCTAAATCAGCTGTTCTTCAAAAATTGTTGGGTCCTCCAGTGCATCATCTTAGACCTCTTTTTGGATAACACGTACTTCTCTGAAGTAAAAAGAGCCAACTCAAACCAGTAACTAGTGTGTTCAAACCAGTAACTAGTATGTTCAATATTCAGTGTTAAACATCTGCTTGCTCTTCCCAGAAACAACATTCAAACTTGCAGAAAAGAACTCCCACACAGTTTTCTTCCTTCTTATCACTATGTTGTGCTCTACAGGTCGATGGTGTTTGCCATCCCTTGCCTTCTCCCTACTTCTCATATCCCTCAAAAATATACAATGAAATTTAGCCACAAGAAATGGTCAGAAACAAACATTTCCTAACAGAAATAATGAGTAATGACTTGGTTAAACAGAAAAGACTGCTTAAGAAGAATTTAGGGACAGAGCTAACACACTCTGATAGATGGTCATTAACAGTTGATGCCATTCCAGCACTACTTTGGGTCTCTGGGGAAGAATAGCATGTGAATGCTTTGCAAGGGATTAGTTGTTTGCTAGTTGTAGGTAAAAAGCTCATTTGAGAGATGGGGCCCAGGAGGGCCCAGACATGTAAGATGAGAAAAGAATATTGCAGAAATTGAATAGTATAGGTGAATGTTGGGGGTGGGGGGAAAGGATCTGAGTTTACCTACAGAATACTATATACATGGGGAAGGGGGAGTAACCAGCCAGTTACTCACTGAGACAAGAGTTCTACTACCTGCAATTTTAGCCACACCTTCAGTTATTACCTTGGATAAACTTTGGCTAATAACAGAAGGTACCAGAGCTGGCCTATTTAGCTCTCTCCTACACTGCAGTGTAAAAGAAATGGGGAAAGAGCCTGAATTTAGAAGTTCTGACGCGAGAGAACTGAGATGCACTGATAGATCAAAAGAGATTCATCAATTAACCACTAAAACGCAGAGATTTTGGACTAGCCACATTTGTTCTATGAGGCTACTGGAAAATGCTCTCATTTTCATTATAAAATCAAATAGCACACCATACCTGAGTCAGAACATCCAGCTGTCCTATAATATGCTCCAAGGTATCTGCAATATGGACATCCTCCTCTTGCCGTTCATGGTTCCTACCAGTATCCTGAGATTTTGTTTTCTTAAGATGAACACCACAATCCATTTCCGATAGCTAAAAAAATAAACAGATATAGTCTGCTATTGCAACAGAAACAACTGGGAAAGATTTTCTGTTTTATGGAAGTTAAACACTGAAGGACAATTTATGTTGGGAAACAGTCTGAAAGGGCAAGAGAAATTTAATTGTTTGTTCTTGCCATGGCTGAAAAAAGAAAAGCTGCTGCAAACTCATCTGTCTTCACAGTCTGGAGTGGCATAATTTTTGTTGGCAGTATGTGTGCATTTTCCTTTTAAAGTCTGCATTAGGAAAGGCAAAGCTTAGATAACAATACTGAAGCAATCCTGAAAGGCTCAAGTTCTGTACAATCAAAGAGCTTTGCATGTTCATGTACAGGCATAGACTGTGCTGGTAAATGGATATTAAATGGAGCCACCCAAAGTGCTGTCTCTAAACTGCAGAATTAAATAAGTTACACTGACAGGAGTCAAATTATTTCCTTCCAACAGCGTAAGGAAGAAAAAGTTTAGTGCCTTGAGCAGCAAAAGGTTCCCTCCATGGTCCATTAGTTGTAAGAAAGCAAGGATGTAGAACTGAAGCTCAGCTAAAGCAAAATGATTCAACATGCATTACAGTACATAGCTTTGGTTTAACCCTGATAATTTTTTTTTTTTTTTAATCTTGAACCAGTTTTCTCTCCACAATGAGATTAATTGCACAAGATTATTTTGAAATTTCGATTGTTTTAGTTATGCAAGTCTGAATATTTCATTCAGAAGAAATTAAGTTTTAAAAAAATATACAGATTTTTACTAAGGAGCTTTTTCTTTCAAAATGCTATATTCCTTCTAGAATAAACACTATTTGCATTAATTGTCTGCAGTATCACCAGTAGAAGTTTAGAGTTTATCTAACTGAACAATTTAGCTAACCAACACATTACTAAAGCAATTGCAGACAACTTCCTTACCTTACACTAACAGCCATTATTTGGATATAAGCCCAAGAACTCAGAGCTTAAAATGTGGTTCTCCGTGGCCTGATGCCTGGTGCAGTTCTATCCCATGGATGGGACTTACTGCTCACGTAAATGACAGAAGTTTGGAAAACTGACAAAAAAGAAAGGGATCCAGACAGACTGAAAAACAGTCTCTATGAGTAGTTTCCATCTCTACACTCACACACATCGCTGTGAAGGCCTTTTTAGTGCTGCACTTAATCATTCATCTCTCTGCATTCGATGCAAAAAGACCATTTAGAATGTTTCATGTAACTTTAAAACCAAAACTGTTTAGCATAGTAAGATTTCTTTTCAGATAAAAACGTAAAGAGTCTACAGGCACTCAGCTCACTGTCTTTTCAATCAAGGCTGGTTGGAAAGGAAAGTCCAGGCAGAATATGCTCCCTGGGACAGGACACACAAAGCCCAACCATCATCACCACGTGTTGTGAAAGGCCACCAACAAACTGCTCATGTGCTGCTGGGTGGCACTGTCAGCCCACAGAAAGGCTCATTAGGCTGACATACAGCCCCCTAGTTAAGCAAAGTAAGCAACAAACAATGCAATAAAACAAACACTTGACTACAAGAAGAGAGAGGTAGTAGGCTTTGGCAGAACTCCTGCTGCTGTCCACTACCTGTTTTTAAGATCTGCACTCCACTGCAACCAAGCCATCGAAGACTATCCAGAGTCCTTGGTCAGCAAAGGTCACACTGCAAAGCCCAGCCACAGGTTTGTGCTGCAGGTAGCCCAAGAGCCACGTGTTGTTCACTGATGCACTAATTTAACCAATCAAAAACATGATCTTGTACAGACACCACTTTGAATCACTGCTCACAAAGAGCCAGGCAGAGAAACTGAAATCAGCTTGCTCCAACCTCTTACTCATTCCACCTGCTTGGAAGGAAGGAAGATACACTCTGAAATCTGGGACCTCTCTGGGAAGGCCTCTCAAAGGGCACTGCATAAAGCACACAACAAAGGTTAAGAATCTGCCCAACACAGGCATAAGATAGTCTCACTGAAAATGCCTGCAAACCCTCATCTAGTCACACCTGAAAACATTGTAAGCAGTAAATGCAGCCCACAACATACATGGAAGAATCATAGAACAGAATCATAGAATCCTTAGAGTTGGAAGGGACTCCTGAAGGCCATCTAGTCCAACTCCCCTGCAACAAACAGGGATGTGCACAGCTAGGTCAGGCTGCCCAGGGCCTGACCCAGCCTCACTTTGAAAGTCTCCAGGGATGGGGCATCAAGCACATCACTGGGTAACTTGTGCCAGCACCTCATCACCCTCACTGCAGAAGACTTTTCACTTATATCCAACCTAAATGTACCCTCTTTGAGCTTGAAGACATTTCCCCTTGTTCTATCACCACAGACCCTGCTAAAGAGTCTGTCCCCTTCTTTCCTGTTCCCCTTTAGATACTGACAAGCCACTATCAGGTCACCTCACAGCCTTCTCTTCTTCATGCTGCACAGCACCAGCTCTCAGTCTGTCCTCAGAGGAGAGGTGTTCCACTCCATGGATCATTTCTGTGGCCCTTCTCTGGACACACTCCAACAGGCCTGTGTCTCTCCTGTACTGAGGACTCCCCATCTGGATGCTGTACTCCAGGTGAGGCCTCACAGCACAGAGCAGAGGGGCAGGATCAGCTCCCTGCCCTACTGGCTGTGCTTCTTTTGTTACAGCCCAGGATATAGTTGGCTTTCTGGGTTGCAAGAGCACAGTGCTGGCTTATGTCCAGCTTCCCATCCACCAGTACCCCAAACCTTTTTCAGCATGGTTGAGCTCAGTCCTTTCATTGTATTGGTAGTAAGGCTCACCTTGACCCAGGTGCAAGATCTTGCATTTGGATTTGTTGAACCTCAGGAGGTTCACATAGGTCCACTGCTCAAGCCTGTTTAGGTTCCTCTGGATGGCACCCCTTCCCTCTGATGTGTCTACCAAACCCCACAGCTTGGTGTCATCAGCAAACATGCTGAGGGTGCACTCAGCCCCACAGTTGATGTCACTGATGAAGATACTAAAGAGTATCAGCCCCAGCACCAATCCTTGGGAGTCATCACTCATCACTGATCTCCATCCAGACATTGAGCCATGGATCTGGACTTGATCCTGCAGCCAGTTCTTCATACACTGAACAGTCCACCCATCAAATCCATATCTTCCCAACTTGGAGAGAAGGATTATACAATCACAGTATGGCCTGGGTTGGAAGGGACCCCAAGGATCATGAAGCTCCAACCCCCCTGCCACAGGCAGGGCCACCAACCTCCGCATCTAATGCTAGACTAGGCTGCCTAGGGCCCCATCCAACCTGGCCTTGAACACCTCCAGGGACAGGACATCCACAAATTCACAGGCTCAGTGGTAAGACTGACAGGTAAGTAGTTCCCAGGGTCATCTTTCTTTTTCCTTCGTTAAAAATGGTTGTGATGGTGCCTTTTTTCCACTCACCAGGAATGTCACCTGATTGCCTCAGCATTTCCAATGTTACTGACAGTGGCTTGGTGACTACATCATCAATTCCCTCACAACTCTGAGATGCATCTCACTGGGACCCACAGATTTGTGGATGTCTATGGGACAACGGTAAAGGATGGGCTTACCACCAGCTAAACAAAAGTGTCCTGCTTCCTCTCAAAGTCACGGCTCTTTCCTTTTTATTTGTTAAACCAGAGCACATGCATCCCATTTGGATCAGCTTCAGACTTCCCATGCCAAAATATGCTATTTCTTTTAAGTGAATGAAAGCTTTTCCTGTGTAAGAAAGCACGAACAGGACATCATGGAGCAGATGCCAAAGTGTTTCTGCACCACAAAAACTGAGCAGACTTTGAAAATTTAGTCTGACATACCTTTTAGAAAGTTTCCAAATATTTAAATGAGCTAAAACTCTTCTCCATAAAAAAAAGAATTGGAAAAAGACTGCAGTGTTCAGCGTGACAGGTTACCTTCCACAAGCAGCCTACCTCTACTCCTATCACAGGTCAAATACAGAAGTGGCACTAGTCACAGCTGCTGGGTTAAGGCAACAATGCTACATCTCTATCACACCGTCCAAAGAGCCTCCAAATTTGACAGCAGTGAACATTATTGTGACACTGTTCAGGAAAGGCCTGCTCCTGTATTTTAACAAGAACAATAACAGCAAATACATGCATGTAGCAATTGGACAGATCAATACAATGGGAAAGGCATTACAACAGAGGTGTGATGACAGAAGAACCGAAACAACAGAAAGGTGCTATGAAGAAAGGGAAGAAGATTGCTTACCCATAGCAGAAAATTCCACGTTCACAGGGGAAAGGTTCACCAAAGAAGCATCTCCAACCAGAGTTCCTTCCCCAGTGGGGCTCAGCCCTTCAATGAGGTCTAAGAGAGGTGCAGCCAGGCTCCACTCCTTCCTGTCTCACAGCTGAACTGCCTTCACCTGTGCTCCCAGGGCTGACTCAGTCCTTTCCCCAGATGTTCAATCAGTGGTTCAGGCCAGGACTCAACAGTTCCCATACAATGCATATATGTATATATTTCCAATTTAGTAAAAGAACATTAAATCAGTCCCACCATTGTTCACAGAAACAGACAAAGAAACTCCCTCACGGACCAGACTACAACTATCCTAATCTTAATAGAAACCTAAACCCTGTGGTGAACCAGACACTACTGCTTTAAATTCAAACAGATATCCAGAAAGTTGCAAAAAAAAATATAGAAAGAGCCCTGAACGGGAACTAATTTATGACAGTCTGTGCTGTGAAACACTGTGGATGCATAGAAGCCTGAGGTCCCATCTGACTCAGCTGCATGGTGCAGTGCCAGCTGCATTCCACAGGCAGGCACCAGAAACAGCGACTGCTGTAGAGGTTTCATCTATCTTAGTTTGAGTTCAAGTACACAATAAATGAACAAACATATTTGCCATTAAATACCTTATCACAACATCTGCTTATTAAGCTCTGTGGGTACAGCAAGAAGCAGTTTAACGTTACAGGAAGAATGGATAAATAGTTTCAGCATGTGACACAGCTCTATGTGACAAG